TCTACCTGCATAGTAAGTAAATCAGCCTAGAAAACAAGCAGAAGGAGGTAGATGAGAAACTTTAACTTCCCTTTCAAATAATAAGGGATACAAGTTAATTATTCAATTGTTTTTTACCTTAGGAAAAACAAATTAGCTGCCTCACCATTAAATCTTAAAAAAAAACAGCTTACAAATTTCTTAAAAGAACTGCGGAGTTCATCGGTTTTCATGTTCATATTTTGCATCTCTGCACAGGTGTATCTTCAATATGATTTATGCTTCTGTTTCTCAATAGTGGTTCAGCTGTGAAGAAATAGATTTGAACTTGGACACTGTACAGATGATTCTGTAAATCAGAAAACTATTAAAGCTCTTTTTCTGAAAATTGATTTTAACGTGAAATTGCTAGTAGTAACAAGTACTTTCTCAGTCTTCTTCTGAAGTTCAGTTGCTCTTCTGGGCTTCAGAACTGAGGCTCATTTTCACTGTCCCTAGACCAAATTTCTATTGACTGGCTATTTTCTGGGCTGTTCATTCTTTGGTGCCACCTGGAGATTTCTTCTTTGTAACAAGTTTTATTCTCATGAAAGGGAATAGTTATTAATTTTATTTCTTTGGAGAGAGCTTTTAAAATAAGCCATATTTCATTTAGCAATATAGGAAACAGAATAAAATTATAGCTGCTGGTTTAGGTAGGAACCATGGTCCACTGCTTCCCATCAATGGTGAAACCAAATGTTTGAACTACAAAACACCCATTATATAGCATACCAGTAAAGAGTGTTGTACCTCCCTAACAACTTGCGTGGCTAGCACCCTGAACTTGTATGTTATTATGTTTGCAACTGTTTACCTGCAGGTTTCATCATACCTTTTGTTTCAATGGTTGTCAGCATCTCCTTGGACTCCTACAGCATCAGTATGTTTACCTCAGTATCAGCTTCTGTAAAGTGCAGTGCATCAATATGTAATGCATACTAAATGTGTTCATATTTATATTTAATGCATGTTATATAAAAGAATAAATAGGGTTGAATTTTTCCATGCACAGTTTCTATTTCATGGAATATGCTCTATTCTTCAATTATAGAAGAAAATGTGCCCAAACACCCAAATCATCTTTCTTCTATCACTTCTTTCCTTCCAGTTTCGAAACTTGTGAATCGACACGATTTTTTGAAGACACGGTTCTTTCTTTGTCATCATTTCATTGACTCAAGCAGATGTTTCTTACAGTAACACTTCTGCCAGAAATCTTAACAGTTATCATTCTAAGTGTTATAAGATAGTTGAGGGAAATTGTATTCATTTCAGGCTAATGATTTTGTGCATAGGGACTGAAATGCTTCTCCCATGCCTAATTCAGGATACTGTACTGTAGCTTTTGGCAGGTATTCCTATCCCAGCAGCTCTAGTGTTAAAGAGTAAATAGTTTTAAGTTGGAGTAAATAGCTTTCTCTTTTTTTCATTCACAAACTTTAATGAACTGCAAATTGATTTGTGTAGAGTAATGGTAGCTGGCTGGTCTATGTTCTTTTACATAGTAGTGCTTTACAAAGAGTGCTTTACAAAGTAGTGCATGCAGGTGGTTGTGGACGGTATTTTTCTGTTTGCACAGTGCATCTTCTTTAGCCTTCATATCACAGAAATTGTTTTCCTAAACTCTGTGAATTTCTGTTCTTGACAAGGATTGATGGACAACTGGAGTGCTGCAATGGATGGCTATAAACTCTTCAGAAGGGATAGGCAAGGAAGGAGAGGTGGTGGGGTAGCCCTGTGCATTAGGGGTTGTTTTGATTGTCTAGAGCTTAATGATGGTGATGATAGGGTTGAGTGTTTATGGGTAAGAATCAGGGGGAAGGCCAACAAGGCAGATATCATGGTAGGAGTCTGTTATAGACCACCCAACCAGGATGAAGAGGCAGATGAAATAGTCTATAAGCAGCTGGGAGAAGTCTCACAGTCGCTAGCTCTTGTTCTCATGGGGGACTTCAACTTACCAGATGTCTGCTGGAAATATAACACGGCAGAGAGGAAACAGTCTAAGAGGTTCCTGGAGTGAGTGGAAGATAACTTGCTGACACAGCTGGTAAGTGAGCCAACTAGGGAAGGTGCCCCACTGGACCTGTTGTTTGCGAACAGAGAAGGACTTGTGGGTGATGTGACACTTGGAGGATGTCTTGGGCGTAGCAATCACGAAATAATAGTTTTTGATTCTTGGAGAAGTAAGGAGGGGGGTCAGCAGAACGGCTCCCTTGGACTTCCGGAGGGCAGACTTTGGCCTGTTTAGGAGCCTGGTTGA